ACCTTCTTTGACCATGAAATGGCATTTCTCCCAATTCAGCACTAGGTTAGTCTCTTCACATCTCTTAAGTACCTTTGATAAATTCTTAAGACAAGACTCAAATGATTTACCAAAAACCGAGATGTAACAGCCTGTTGTACACCGGTATTGTTAACATTAATTATGATATTAAGCGCAGTTACAATCACAGCAATTCATTTATAAAAATACGAGTAAACTTTTTCTGTTTATTACGCGAGCATTTAAAACCGTAAAAAGCGTAATAAATAAAGGTTGTGACCATAACTGTAACCTCTTGCGGAATACTTGTTTAAACTATTTTTATATCTTATTTTACTCAATACAAGACACTAAGGGGATCCCATAAACTCACTTAGCATATTTCTCAATCTTATGTTTTCTACCTATCCGAACATGGTTCGGTTATTATTTTTCTGCGGACACACTGCACAAAACCAGTCCTTCATCTTTATTTATCTTTTTTATTACTTAATTATCTTTCCAATGAGCTATCACACGAGTCATTTCGATCTCGTTTGCTCCGGATATCGCCGTTTGAAGTTGGACAAGCAAAACTGCCAACCAACCCCAAAACAGCTCCAAACATCCTTCACTCCACGAATTACTGCAGGAAAACCACTCATTCAAATGCTCTCAAATTTTATACCATAAACTAGACACCTCAAGCTTCAATTTGACATATCATACACTTAATTTTATTGAGAAACGAAGCGTGAATAAGATTCCCAAAAACTGTCAGAACAGCCCCTGCACAGGTGCGTTCTGGACAGTCTGTGTTCACAGGTTTCTACAGGGATGTGTGCAACCCATAAATTTCTCATATTTTAACACAATTTAGGGGACATCTCAAGATTTAAAATGGCATATGTAACAACCCTATTGGACCTCTGTGGAGGAAGATATGCTCTCCTGAAGTTCGTCTAAATTCTGCCAATTCTACAGAAAATTCGCCACAGTTTCCTTTGTTTTTCCTAAAATCCCCAAATTTGCAAATGCTCTCTAATACCTCAAATGTACCTAATAACCAATGGGTGGCACACACAAGGACCAACAATGTCTTGGGGCACTTACAACCCATCTCAGTTTATAGTTATTACACAATTTATACCATATAGCTCACTTTATAAATCCTTAACTTGTTTCAATCACCAATGTCCATTTACATGCAATTTCTCTACATACTATTAATCATAATCCTAAAATAGGCCTAAAGCACTTCCATCATATTACATCAAGTATCCAAGTGCAATTACAACATATTACAACTTACGATTCCATGACTTTAAATTACAACTTAAACATGAACTTTAAATTACAACTTGAAACATGAACTTCAAATGACATATACAACTAACTAGACTTAGGCAAAATGACATGAACAAATATGAATGTGAAACTCATCCTACATACATATGGAATGTTCATGCCCTAAGTCTAGCCTAGGCCAAATGGCCATCAAAATGCAAAAAGTGCAAGTCCTCCAATGACTCATCCTACGGGCTTCTTGCCCACCGCTCCCGTACCACTGCTACCTCCGAAAATATATCTCCCAAGATGGGGTGAGATATACGAATATATCTCAGTAACCTAGAGGTTCTGGAGAAAACTTCGCCCAATGGCTCACTTCGATGCATATAAATAAAATAAAATAATCACTTATCAAAACGGGATAAAGCAAGGGATTTAGAGAAACTGGGGAATATAGGAATACAAAATACGACAAAGCGGGAATGGTAGCTACCAATACCACGCAACTTCCTCGGCATATAAGCTTATGGGTCTCATCCAAGGCATGTTCCTAGAACATCCAACCAAGGTACCCCTTCCATCCGCATACACCCGAGACTTCCTAGTGTGCTCCTATCAGGATCACACACCACGACCCTAGGTCAACTGGAACTCCCTCTCGGAGACCTATCCAATGGAAGTCCGAAACGCCCGAAGGCAACACTGTCTACTGGCCAGAGACTCGGTACCTATGTACCAACATACATCTACATGCATGATCATGTTATTCTACACTACTCATATACATTTCCTACCATCACCCTCAACGGGTATGGTGGAACACACAAGGGGAACAAGCCCCAGTACCAAGAGGTTACCTCAATGTGTTTCTCCACTTAGCTCCAAGCAGTTTATGTTCCAAGCTTGTTACTCAACAAAATGCCTACACAGAGGACATTCTCAATTACACAAAACTAATACGAACACATGCCAGTTAACAATTATACAAGCATGATTCAACCACTTACCTCAATCCCACTTGGTCTAGGACCAAGGGCAATCCACCGACTCACGGTTCGGGGTTCAAATCGACGTACGACAACCTACAATAACCATGTACGAACTGTCAGTACACGACAATTCTATCAAAACGCGAAAAACGTCAAAACCCTCCTACACCCTTGTAGGTTCGGCCTTCTTAGGCTTATTTCACAATTTATTTTTCTAAATTTTCTTTCTCATTTTATTATACTTCCTTAGGTTGCCAAAAGACCATACCAAGTGTCGTTTTTCACTTTACGTCTTTTAAACAAAGATTTGCCTAATATTTTACTCTAGGATCCTTTATGGCATTTAACACCTTCAATTATTTTTCATTGATTCTTCCACTTTCCAACTACATCAAATCCCTAAAATTCCCTACATGGCCGAATTGTCAACTAGGTAATTCCAAAGGATTCTCACTTAATTTTAACCACTCCACACCTCATACAATATCATTATATCAACATCCAATCATGCAACAACTCACCAATCCCATCCTAACACAATTTCAAAATCCAAAGTCATGACAACCTAAAATTTCTCCAAGTTAAAAATACACATTTTCCTCAATAATTTATATTGCATTTATAGCTAATACACATTATTCTACGACACATTCATGTATAAACATTTCCCAATTGAGCTCTCTAAACACATCAATCATCTAAGCCCTCTTTAGGGTTCATAATTCAAATCACATGAATCAACCGATTAAATACAAGGAAACTCACCCCAAATGCAAGGCACAAGGCTCCTCCTAAACATACTCCACCATTGGAGCACCTAGAAGCTCCATGAACACAAATCTAAGCAAGTGAGCTCCGGCCTTGAGTAGGAGATTTTGCAAAATACAGCTGGATTCAAGGCTCAAGAGTACCACCAATGGCTTTAGAAGGTGTTTTCCATCAAGTTTCAAGCTAAAAATCGATGGATTTGGTGGAGAAATGATCAAGTTATGGTGAAATGAAGTTTCCAAAGCCATTTTTGCATAATAATGAAGGGGTTGCGGGTTTGGAGAAGAAGGAGGGGAGGAAGATGATGATGTAATGGTGGCTTTTCCATGTGGCAAGGTTCATTTAAGTGGGGTGGGTCCCACCGCCACCTCACGCGTTTTCAAATTAATTCAAAACTCCCTCTGATTCCACTAAACGTCCATAATTTCATAACCTATTTAGAAAATCTAATTTTTAACATTAACCATTGTCCTTTAATTACCCTTGATCAGATGAATTCGGAGTTTTCCGGTCGTTCAGAGAAAACGCTGTTTTAAGTTGTTGCATGCGTCGTTGGCACGCTTCTCCAAACTAACTTATTTCCATCAATTTTTACCAGAAATCATATTTCCTAGTTCTATAAACCATTTATAACTCATATTTAAAACCTAGAGCTCAAAACTCACTCGACACATTTTACGGTGCAATCGTACCGCGGTATTTTGACCCGGTAAAACACTATTCACTGAATTTTCTGAAACTTGCCTAACCACTCAATTTTTCGTTCTGAATCCATTTCCAGGGTTATTTTTACCATCTGAGACCTTCTACTCAATTTTTATCTTCCTAGGGTTGCGTGTTGGCTAATTACCGTTTTGCCCTTTCTTTGTATTTTGGCCTAATCTTTAGGATTTTCACTAATCCTTCACTTAATTACTCATTTAATGTTTTAATACTTAATTTAGAATTGCGAGGTGTTATACGAGAAATCATCCATGAATATTTCCACAAAATTCTCCACCATATCTGTTAATATTGCCATCATACACCTTTGGAAGGTTGCTGGTGAATTGCATAATCCAAATGGCATCCTTCTAAAGGCAAAGGTTCCATGCGGGCAAGTAAATGTGGTCTTGTCTTGATCTTCTGGTGCTACAGCAATCTGGTTGTAGCCCGAATATCCATCTAAAAAGTAATAGAACTCTTTCACTGCTAGTCTATCCAACAATTGGTCAATGAATGGCAAAGGGAAGTGGTCCTTTCTTGTAGCATCATTAACCTTCCTATAATCCTAGCATATTCTCCATCCGGTCACAGGTCTAGTTGGTATAAGCTCATTTTTCTCATTCTTCACAACTGTGATTCCTCCCTTCTTTGGTACACATTGCACAAGACTTATCCATTGGCTATCTAAAATAGGGTATATTACTGCAGCATCTAGCCATTTAATCACTTCTTTCTTGACAACTTCTTTCATCATAGGATTCAGCCTTCTTTGAGGATACACAGTGCTGCTGTAGCCTTCCTGCAGCAATATTTTGTGTGTGCGGAATGTAGGGCTGATTCCTTTTATGTCTGCTATGCTCCATCTGAGGGCTCTTTTGTGCTCTTTTAGTACTTTTAGCAACTGCTCCATTTCTGCATCAGAGAGAAAAGATGAAATAATAACAGGTAAATTATTTTCATCTCCTAAGTATGCATATTTAAGATGCTGGGGCAGGGGTTTGAGCTCAAGGATTGGAGGTTCTTCTATCGATGGCTTGAGTTTCTTTATCATTCTTTCTCCAAGAGATTCAAAATGTCTTTCTTTGTGTGGCCTTATTGGTTGGGAATCCATCCATGCAAGGCACTCCTTCATTTTATCTTCATCGTTTGCACATTCCTCTGCTATAGCAACGTTCAGTGGTTCTGTCTCTGTTTGCTGCTTGAGTTGCTGTAGCAGAACTGCATCAATAGTATCCATGTTAGCGCATTCTTCCACTTGATCAGGATACTTCATACTTTGAGTACATTGAATGTAACTTGCTCATCATTGACTCGCATGGTTAAGTCTCTTTTCTCAACATCAATCACTCCTCGTCCAGTGGCTAAGAATGCTCTTCCCAAAATGATGGGTACTTCCCTATCTGCTTCAAAGTCAAGAACAATAAAGTCAGCGAAAAAAATGAACTTATCCACTCTTACCAACACATCTTCAATTTTTCCTTCTGGATAAGTTATTGATCTATCAGCCATCAACAACGTAACAGTGGTTGGACGTGCCTCTCCTATTCCAAGCTTCCTGAAAATTCTCTTAGGAATAAGGTTAATACTTGAGCCTAAATCTAGTAATGCATTACCTACATATTGGTTACCAATAGTACAAGGAATAGTGAAACTCCCTGGATTTTTTAGCTTTGGCGGTAACTTGTTGAGGTAGTATTGACTACTTTCTTGGGTTAGAGCTACTGTCTCATATTCCTCCAGCTTCCTCTTCTTTGCCAAGATGTCCTTCATGAATTTTGCATAACTTGGCATTTGCTCAAGAGCTTCAACCAAGGGTACATTAATGTGCAACTATTTTAGAACATCAAGGAACTTCTTGTACTGCTTGTCATCAGTTTGCTTCTGCAATCTTTGAGGAAAGGGTGGTGGTGGTCTTGTTACTTTGCTGACAGTCTGACCTTGTAGTGGTTTTGATGTAACAATACTCTCAGTGTCAGCAGCTTGAGGTTCTTTGGGTTGATCATGATTTTCCACCTTTTCAGCAACTTTATCTTCTTCAATCTGGCTCAATGCTTTCTGCTTCTGCTCATGGTAGTTCTTTATGACTTCTGGTTCTTCTACGGCTTTACCACTCCGCAATGATATAGCATTGACCTGTTCTTCTCCATTTTTTTTGGGACTTCAGTATTGCTTGGCAAGGTTCCTTGAGGTCTGCTTCTAAGTGCTTCTGCCAATTGACCTACTTGAGTCTCCAAATTTTTGATTGATGCAACTTGATTATGAATTATAGCATCGCTCCTCGTCATGTAATCTTTCAACATGCTTTCCAGCGAATTTGATGTATCAGCTTGCTGTTTAGGTTGATGATGCTGTTGCGTGAATCCAGGAGGGTATGGAGCTTTATATGACCTTTTTGTTGTATCTTAGGACATTTGTTGCTGTCCATGATGCTGTCCTTGAGAATAGGACAGATTTGGGTGATTCCTCCATCCGGGATTATAGGTATTTGAATATAGATTGTTGTTCCTGTTGAAATTGCCAATAAAACAAACAGATTGAGGGTTTTGTGGACAATTATCATAAACATGGGGACCATTACAGAAAACACATGATATAGCATCAGTTATGGCATTGACTGGTTGTGCTTTAGCTTCAGCAGACAAATTCATCGTCTTGATAGAGTTGTTCAAAGCTGAAATCTGTGCTGACAGTGCTATTACAGTATCTAATTCCTAGACTCCAGTAGCCTTCTTTGGTGTTAAACTTGATCTTTCTACAAGCCACTGATAGTTGTTGATTGCCATCCTCTCTAATATTGCATATGCTTCTGTATATGTTTTTTCTAAAAGAGCTCCTCCAGATGATACATCGACCATGCTCTTTGTTGGTCCATTAAGCCCATTATAGAATGTCTCTATTTGAATCTATTCGGCAATGCCATGATTTGGGCACTTCCTCAACAGATCCTTGAATTTCTCCCAAGCCTCATAATGATTCTTCTTGCAATTGCTTGAAGGTTGATATATCATTCCTGTATTGGGCTGCCTTCATGGGAGGAAAGAATTTCAATAAAAACTTGTCCGCTAAATCCTCCCAACTTTGGATTGACTGTGGTTGTAAAGAATTCAACCATGCTTTAGCTTTGTTGGTGAGGGAATATGGGAACAACTTCATCTTTAAAGCATCGGATGTAACTCCCCTGATTTTGATAGTGTCTGCTACATCCATAAAAATTTTGAGGTGAAGGTGAGGGTCTTCACTAGGCATTCCATTGAATTGACCAATGGTTTGCAGCATGTTAAACATCACTGGCTTCAGCTCAAAGTTCACTATTGCTACATCAGGTTGAACGATTCCAGAATGCAGGTTATTGAGCGTAGGAATTGCGTGCGCTCTGATTGGAATCTCATTTTGATTTGGACCTTCATTATTATGTCTAGGTTCATCTTCTTCACCGTTTCTCAGCCTTTCTGTCATGTTGGGTATTGTTGTAGAATTGTTGCGTCTTTGTCGTCTCCTTCTTGCTCGAAATGTTCTTTCAATCTCAGGATCAAAATCTGCTTCTTGCTCTGAAGAAGAACTGCTCATACGCTGCAATTAACAACTTTAAAATAGTAAGGGGAAAGGTAAAGGATATAAAAAGAATAAAATTCTTCACTAAAATAAAAAAAACTTTATGATTATTCCCCGGCAATGGCGCCAAAAACTTGTTGTGCAAATTGTAATAAATTAAATCTTCCACACAAATACGCAAGTGCACGTGTCATAAGTAATAAAGGGATGTGTGAGTCCAAGTATCATTCCCACGGAGATAAGTGTCAAGTAATGATTATTTAGGTGAAGAAAGTAGGTAAAATGATTAATTGTGATGATTGGATTTGTAAAATAAAAGACAATTAAAATTAAGAAAACAGTAAACTAATTCTAAAGTATTAAAATGATGGATGAGATATAGGTCAGGTTCAATTTCCCTGATACAGCAATACTGAAACGATGTTTTAACAATGCTATATCAATGTTTAACTAGTAACCGAACACTAAGGTATGCTGGGGCTTTTGGCCAACCTAACATATATATCCAATAACTAATTCCCACATCTCTATGGCCAAACTAATCACTGAATTGTTCAAGTTCAAGTTCAAGGTTATGTGGTGTGAATGATCTCTCTACCCACAACATAATCAAGTTATAATTAACCTAATTAATCCACACAATTCAACAAGGGTCTGGATTTGGAAACCTCTCGGCCCCAACCTCCTCAATATCACATATGTATCTCTCGACATGCACACATGAATAAGATTAAGCAAACTCGTTGAATAACTAATCAAACATTAATATAAACAAAGTTTAGGCATACATCTCAATGTTACAGCATATGTACTTTATCACCTAACTCATTGGAAAACAGAAAAGAAGATGAAAATGAATGTTGTAGGAAAACGTCGTCACTGCCTTGCTCCAGCACTGCTCCAGCAGCTCTTCCCTCTCTAAGAACCTTACTTTCTCTCTCTAAACTCTTCTCACTTGCTTCTAACTTCTCGAACCTTGAACCTCTCTGGACTCTCTCCAAAATCGTGCTTTAATCCATGGGGGAACTCTTCTTTAAATAGGAAAAATGGTTGGAAAATTGGGCTTTAGGGTTAGGAGTTAAAAGCCATGAATCTTGTTGCTGCAGCCTTATTGTATCCCTAGATTCTTGGGTTGTTGGCACTTGCTTGGATAAGATCCTGATCTTCTTGAATTTCTTGTGCCAATGTTGTTGTTGACCGAATGTGAGCGTGAGTTTGTTGTCCTTATTCTTTGGATTTTTGGGCTTTGTTGGCACTTGTTTGGATAAGATCTTGATCTTCTTGGATTCCTTGTGCCAATGTTGTTGTCGACCGAGTGTGAAGTTGTTATCCTTGTTCCTTGGGATTTTGGGACAAGATTATATCTTCAGATTCGTCCTTTGCTTGCTGGTGTATTGTTGGAGAATAACTAACTTTTGAATTTCAAAAGTTCGGTTGTCCCTTTGTCCACACTATCATGCTGTAGCGATTGCTATGTCATCAATTCTTCAGCTCTTTTGCTACAGCATTACTACGTCAATTTTTCCTGCAAAGTCAGACACTCAACAAGTCATCTTTTCTTATACAAAATCAAGGAATATTGTCTTATTTTCCATACTTAGTCATCTCAAAACACTTAATCATGAGTATACAATAATTAGCTCAATTATCATGCAAAGAAGACAACTTATATGGAATTTATGCAACAAATTCATCAAAAAATACTAAATTAACTCTCATTTGGGAGAGTTATCAGATATACGAATATATCTCAATAACCCAGAGGTTCTGGAGATTACTCCGCCCAATGGCTCACTCAGATGAATGCCAATAATATAATACAACATTCAAAACGGGATAAAGCAAGGGATTTAGTGAAGTAGGAAAGCATAGGGAATAAAATACGATGAAGCTGGAATGGTCAATGCCAAAACCACGCAACATCCATATACACCCGAGACTTCCTAGTGTGCTCCTCTACGGATGACACACTACAACCCCAGGTCAACTGGAACTCCCTCATGGAGACCTATCCAGTGGAAGTCCGTAACGCCCGAAGGCAAACTGTTTACTGGCCAAAGACATGGTACATCCTATGTACCACTATACGTACAAATATGTATGATCATGTTATACTACATTACCAACATACACCTCCAACTAATACCCTCAACGGGCATGGTGGAGCACACACGGGGATTAAACCTGTAACACCCCGTATATATCCGATAGTGTTATCATTACATCGTATTAAGCTACGCTTAATTAAAAATGCGGAATATTCTTTTTCTTTTCAATTATGACGTCATTATCAATTACCAACTTGATTACTTAATCAATTTCATAAAATATCGCCTGAATGTAAATTGCAATAAGACATCTACTGAAATACCTCAATATAACATATAAAGTGAGTATCTAAGTCACGGCATTACATCACGTAATCCGGACAATATCCTGATGCATTAATACAACTCTAATAAAAGAAAGACCTAACAAGTCTACGTGGCATGGACAATCCCCATGCTCACCAAATCAATAGCGTCTCAACAAGATAATCCAAAATCATAACATGAAGCAAAAGCATAAAAACAGCAAGCATATCCAGCATCCAACATGTCAGCATATAATGTCATCATTATCTAACTCAGCTCTGGCCTCCTGCCGCCTGAGGTCTCAACATTACCTGACCCTGAAATAAGCATTCCCCAAACGTGGGGTGAGATCTCTAAACCAGAAATCTCAGTAAGACAAGGGGTCCTCAAGGATCTTCCACCCCAAGCTCACTTACATACGCAATATAAGTTCTAAAGGCATTTATATCAATATAAGTTCCAAAATTATGCAGTGCAACAGATATTCATGCCATGTGTGTTTATCACTATCTACTGGCCAGAGAAATGCAGGAATACGTCTATACCTACATGTAGTACAAGGAACACCGCTTGCACCTCACCCACAGCCTCACCATCTTGTATGTACCACATACTCAGGCTTATCGTATAGGTGGAACACCACATGCATATCATAAAGGCACTAGCATATAACAACTCAAAAGCATTTCCAAAACATCAAAAGCATGTAACACAGAATGCATATAACCATACCCCCATGGGACATGGTGGAACCACAACATGGCTAAACCGAGGACACGAAAGCTTACCTTGCAAGCTCACTATCCAATGCCAAGAGTCCTCACAGCTCAAGTCCAACACACAGCAGATCACAATCTGATTTAGGACCAGCAAGAGTATCAACAT